AGGTTTTAACCAGTTCTGGAGAACCGGTAGCGGAATTTTTGAGTAGTTCAGAGAACCGGTAAATACCAGCTCTGGCTGGCCCCGCCCCCATCTATTCTCTCCCTCCCGAGTCCCAGCTGATCAGAAGGGAATGGGGATTTTGCAGTAACCTTCCCCTGGAGTGGGGAGGCAATGAAGAATTTACAGTATCCTTCTGCTGCCATGATCACCAAGCCACGCCCACCAAGCCATGCCACGCCCACCAAGCCACGTCCACAGAACCGGTAGTAAAAAAAATTGAATCCCACCACTGAGCTAGATGCACTAGAGAAGTCACAGAGCCACTTCTAATGGTAGTGAAAATGGGATACAACACAAAATGCCTTCTGGAAGTCTGGATGTAAATCTGGCATTCACAACCTGGCAAGAGACAAGTGTGGTGCCCTACTGGATTGGGAATCCACCATCAGCCATGGAAACGCACTGGGTTTTCTACAACATTGTGGTAGGAAACATTGGAGGAAGGAGAGCTAAGTTCACCACCTTGAATTCCTTACTCAAGTAGGATATACTGTAAATCAAATTAATTAATCATCTTCCTGGGTAATAACAAGGATTGACCATCTGATGTCTCATGTGTTGATAAAACAAGTGAAATCTATCAACAAAGAAGATAGAGAAACAATTAAAAGTTTTGTCTGAAAGTCTTCCTCCAAATATCCTGAATGTGAAGGTGAAGGTGATTTTTTAATAAATTTCTGCACCTACAATTAGTGTATGGAAAGCTTGATTCCAAGTTGAGTCCAAGAACAAAACGGATGTTCTTCTGATCTTTTGCACCTAATTCGTAGCATAATCAGCCTTGGTGCTAAATAATCTTCTCCTCTCATAAGAAAAAATTGTAGGGAGTCATTAATAGAGTGCCAAGTGTGACATTGAAAAATGACAAGACAAACCATCACCTTTGTTTGTTTAATATTAGAAAAGTGTGCTTCCTGTAGGAAATATTCTTTAGCCTAGCTATCCTTAGACTATATATAACAAGGTGAAGGTTTTAAAAAAGCACAAGAAGAAAGAATATTCTTTCAGCGCCAACTCAAAAAGCTCAAACTGCCCAAAGAGCTGCTGATTCAGTTCTAAAGAGGAATTATTGAGTCCGTCATCTGCGTCTCTAATAACTGTCTGGTTTGGCTCTGCAACCCAACAAGACAGACACGGACTTCAGAGGATAATTAGAACTGCAGAAAAAACAATGGCTACCAACCTGACTTCCATTAAAGACCTGTACACTGCAGGAGTCAAAAAGAGGGCCATGAAAATATCTACAGACCCCTCATATCCTGGACATAAATTGTTTCAACTCCTACCNGGCCACACCCACAGAGTAGGTTCAAACAACTTTTGAAACCCACCACTGGAGAGTATGTATGTGCATGTGTGTGCATCACATATAACATATGGGCAGAATTTTGATCACAACCTCATGGTAATCATCTTGACTTTTTTTTTAACCATACCCTGTAGAAATTTCTGCCCACAGCTAGTCAATCATGAATCTACAACAGCAGAGAAGCACTCTCTGGAGTACATAAATGAACTAACGCATCACTCCTTCCCACCTTCCATCTGCTGCCTTCCACCTCAACTGACATTAAAACAAATGAGCAAAAACTCGAAGGCCTCTTCCAAATTTTTCTTGGGAAAAGCTAGTCAACATCTGAGTCACCCACAAAGTGCCCAGGCCGCACCCACTTATCGGAGTTGGGATCAACAAGCATTTTCTTTTCAATTCAAAACGTGTGAAGTTATTCGATCGATTAAATAACTTTTGATGTAAATATTAAAAGCAAAAACAGGATTTCATGAATAAAGATGTACAGTTTCTCGGCAGTGTCATAAGTTGTGAGAATAAACTTCGGGAGCAGAAGGAAGAGCTGTATCCAAACTCAGATTTAAAAAAAGAAATCTGGGTCTGGGGCAGAACTGTAATTTTTGAGAAAGTGTCTCAGATATGACTCTCCTTGTGCATATTAATAATGCAATAACAATAGCACTTAAGAGTTACATACCACTTCACAATGCTTTCCAGCCCTCTGTAAGCAGTTTTACAGAGTCAGCATAATTGCCCCCAACAATCTGGGTCCTCATTTTATCCACCACGGAAGGATGGAAAGCTGAGTCAACCTTGAGCCTGGTGAGATTCGAACTGCTAAATTGCAGGCAGCCGACAGGCAGCAGAAGTAGCCTGCAGTACTGCATTCTAACCACTGTGCCACTGTCATGGATTGTATATTACAAACAGGCAAAAAAAATAAGGGATAGATTACTTGATTAGCTGATGCCACTTATTATTGGCTGCTGCACTGCACACACTGGCACATTTTGATGCCTTTTAGCTGGGAAGAAGTTACTATCCCTAAAAAAAATTTGGAAAGAAATTATTCTGGATAGTCTGGAAAGTTTACTTAAAAGACAATACGGTTATCACATTGATCCTTACAAAACTGTCTATACCAGAGCGTGCCCAACTCTTTCACCTATCTCTGAGTTAGAAGGGTAGCAACATTCCTCAAAGGAGCCTATTAAATTTGACTTTTGGCAAGGCAGATGGAAGGAGTCTCAACAATGAGCCTGAATGCAATGATTAAGCAGCTGAGGGCTCACAGCTCAAAAAACACCCAAGGTTGTAGGCCACGAATAGCCAAAACTGTGCAAAGTGTTCATCGGTAGGAACATCTTCTAGGTGCAAGGAAATTATTTGAAGAAGCCAGCCCAACCGGACAGAGCTTAATCTACGAAGCATCTGGGGTGCAATTCCTGTTCTAACTGCAGATGAATTAGATCAGAGGTGGTATTCTGCAGGTTTTAACCAGTTCTGGAGAACCGGTAGCGGAATTTTTGAGTAGTTCAGAGAACCGGTAAATACCAGCTCTGGCTGGCCCCGCCCCCATCTATTCTCTCCCTCCCGAGTC